CGGGGCCGGGAGGGGACGGCGGCGGCCGGGGCGAGGCGCGGGGGAGGCGGCCGCGTCCTGCCTACCTTTGAATTTGAGGTCTGTGGGCGGGTCGAGGACCAAGATCTGCTCGTGTTTCGCCATGGCCCCGGAGGCAGACGCCATCGGAGACAGCGCAGAACGGGGGCGCGCCCGCGGCAGCGGTCTGCGGGCTGGGTGGGGGCGCGGCCCGGCTCGGCCGAGCTCTAGCGCGGGGCCAGGCTCCGGCCTCGGGCCTCGACGCCTGTCGCTCGGTCGCCGGTTCGCGGGGCCGCCACGGGGTCAGCAGCTCCGACTCTCACAACTGACTCAACCTCACACAGCCGCCGCGGCCACGCGCACTGCGATCCTCGGTGCCCCACGTGACGGCCCCTGCGTGGCTACGTGCGCGCTCCCGGCGCTGCCAGCAGCTCGCGTCCTCTCCGCCCGGCCGCCGGCGTCTGCGACGCGAGCTGCTGCGCCTGCGCGCCTCCGCCCGCTGGTGCTCCTGGCGAGGTTCAGCTGTCACGGAAAAGGGCGTGACGGGGCCCGTGAGACAGGCGCAGAACGCGGCGCAGGACCAGGGCGCGGCCCTCGGTCACGACGAGCTACGAGGACCGAGCCAAGAGCCTGCAACAGTAACGCCTCGTGTCCGCTAGCAGGAACGCTGAGCTCTCGTTCAATCCGGGAGCGCCGCGCCCGACTCCCAGCGTGCCCTGCGCGGGGGCGGGCTTCAGCATGCGGCCGCGCGGTGCCTGCCGGGAGCTGTGGTTCGGGCGCTGCGGGCGGGAAGGAGGTTGGATTACTGCGTACGGCCGCTGACCCTGCTGTGTTTCTCTGAGGGCGGCCTTCCCGCCTTGAAGAACTTAAAGCCGACCGCCCGCTGCTCGAGCCCCTGGCTGGAAGTGTAGACGGGCCCGTGGAGCAAATCCGGACGCACCGGCGTGCTTTGTAATCCCGCCCACGTCCGCGGCAGCGCTGAGTCCCCTGTCGCGTCCCCAGTTCGCCCACTGCTGCAGGATCAGACGAAGACTTGACACCTCTGCGTAGGAGCGGAGGTGTAGACGTGTCATTGGGAAATCTGCCTAGACACTCCTCGGCAGGAGTGACCACATGTCCAGTGCGGAATTCGGGTCTAGTCAGTGCTTCCCTTTGATTCATGTACGACCCGAACTGAAATGTTGTTAGTTTGCACTTTAGGAATAAATTCCATCTGCCTCACTCATGACAGCCTGTAGTAACTGAACCAAAGAGAAGAATCAGCAGCAGAGCTGCTGGCAGATCTTGCAAAGGCTGCCTGCGTCCTCAGTCCCGAGGGAGGTGGAAAAGAGCACATGGTCTACAAATCTTGACTGTGTTTTATAGTCCTGCTTGGATTAAATCCTTAAGAAACACCAGGTAACAGGCTAGGTGACGCTGCTATCATGAAGAAGCTGACCCATTTGTCTAGAAAACCAAATGAGACACATCAACAGCCTTAATCGAAGGCAGGTCCAAGCTTTCCTCTGCAACCCCAGATGGCAGAGCCTACCCAGGAAGCGCTCCCCAGAAAAGTTAACTCAGCATCTACAGAAGGGTGTGCCACGGAGAACTGTGTCTTCAGCCGCAGAGGGACTAGAGAGATGCGTGTCTACATAGTTTGAAACACATGTTCTAAATGACCTTTAATTTTAATTCCTATTATTCACAAAATTTATTTGTAAATGTGAAACACTAAAAGTATACAAAAAGAATATGCTCATTAAAGGGAACGTTAATTTTTTTTTTTTTAAGACTGTGGTTAGCAGTACACAGGATGGTGTCCTGCATGTTTGCTTGTAAATTGATAACCCAAGATGACCTCACAAACGCCTTTTACCTGCCTAGAGGCTCTTTTTCCTCGGCAAACTGAGACTTCAAAAGTTGTGCACTGCTGAATAGACACTTCCCTTACCAGCAAGCATTTAAGGACCTTCAATTTGGAAACAGTCGATTAGGATAACACACAGAGAAAAGTTCTGTCACTCCCCTGAATGCTGCTCATTTGTCAGGGGTTTAATGGGAAGCCTAGATTGGACACATTCCAGTTTCCAGCCTATATAATGAAGAAACCTCTACCCCTTTAAGCCATTTACCATTAAATCAGCTTTTTCTCAGTAATGCTACAAAAAATCGTGTAAGTATAATCTTAAAATCTACAAGAATTTTCTTTTTAATGTATTTAGTACAGGGCCTACAGGGTCTCACTGCACGGAGCAGACTAGTAATGATTCTGTTTTCAGCCTCCCAAGAGCTGGGATTACAGGCGCGTGCTACCACACACATTCTCAATCACTATCTCAGTGCGCCACCCTGGGTGGGGCTGGCACAGCATGACGGGGATCGATCTCTGGTGCCTAAACAGGCACTTTAGTCCACTGAGCTATCTAGCCGGCCCTAATCTGCAAGAATTTGAATAGCAAGAATGCATGAAACATCTTGGGATTAACCCCTTACTGCTATTTTAGGGATTTACATTAATAACGACTCAGTTTTCCTGAATCATCTAACCCTCATCAAATAGTGCATTAATGGTTGGTGTTGTGGCATTTATTGGTGCCTTTTCTTTAACAAGTAAAAGTACAAATATCATCACATGCTACTCAAAACATCTCTACCAGAGCTGGCAGTGTTACTTTTGCTGTTGAATGTGGAAAATAAAACATGTGAGAGCATGTCATGGCAATAATAGAACTGCTGGGGGGGGGGGCAAGGTGACTGGCTTTCTTACGGTTTTGCAAAAAGTCTTCTTCCCAAATCATAATAAAAAGCCCACAGTGGTAAGGCAACATACATTTATTGTTTTGAGACAGAGTCTCACTGTGTAGTTCAACTGGTTTTGAATTCACTTTGTAGCCCAGGCTGGCCTCAAACTCATGGTGATCCTCCTGCCTCAACCTCCTGAGTGCTAAGACTACAAGCATGGACCAGCACACCCAGCTTCAAGACAACAGTCTGAAATTAATTAACATTTACTGGCTAGCAATTAGAAAATACTGAAAAACAAGGGGACTAATGTTCATTCTGTTTGCTTCTTTTCAAATTGCTTGATGCAACAAAAAAGGTCTCAAAGTATAACATATATGATCTTAGGCTTATCTATCTAGTAAATCTTCACAAGTCTAAAAGGTACGAAGGCTTGAACATTACTTCAACTTGTTCAAATTGCTAATAGTATTAACCTTTGGATGGATTATTTTTTGTGGTTTTCAAATGACATAAAAGTGTACTTCCCCTATAAAAATGCTCTCTAACTATGGATGTGTATGTGAGCAGTTCTCTAAGGCATGCAGTTCAGTGATAAGCTCAATGGACACAGAGTCCGTACAGGTTTTGGAACTGAGCTGCCAGGCTTCAGTCCTGATATCCACTGTATATTGTAGTAGCCTCACTTCACTACCTTTCAGATCTAGGAAATAAGAGTAATAATAATGCCTATATCCTAGATGTGTGTGCCTTTTAGTTTCGTCAGCTTAGCTAGATAAGAGTCCTAGAGAGGTGAGTGGGTCATTAGAGGGCTAATCTGCCAAGGTGCACTGCTGAATGTGCTGAAGGAGGGCCAGTGTGCACATGGAGGTCATCCCAAAGGTGTGCCTTTCAAGGGAGCATCTTATGCTGGTGCATTCCTCCGGGCCCTCTCCCCAGATGCCATGATGGGAGCAACTTTGCTCCACCAGGCCTGTCCACCATGATCTTTTAGCTTCGCAGCAGCTTACCATGGACTGAACCCTCTGAAATCATGAGCCAAATAAAACAATTTCCTCTTCAGTCAGTATGTCAAGTCTTTCATCCCATGAACAAGATAGTTTGTTTCTAGGATTAAATGAGTCACTAAAAGGGCCAGGGATATAACTCAGCAGTTTGAGTACCTGCCTGGCAAGCGCAAGTTCCTCAGTTCAATCCCTGGTACTGAAAATAATAATAATAAATTAGTCACTAAAAATGAAGAGCTTGGAATGGTGACTGGATCCACCACTGTGACTTTATTAAGTGTTCAATGTTAAATTATTGCTGTGTGCATGGCATTGTGGCTGGTGCTGGTAACTAGTGTGAGATGTTGACTTCTGCCTTGCATTCAAACCAGAGACAAATGTGGAATAATTATACAATTATATTCCAATTGTGGTAAAGTCTAGGAACAAAGAAGCCAGAGTGGTGTGAGATTAACCAGTGGAAACTGAGCCCAAGGTTTGGAGATGGTTTCCTTTGGGATGTAACAAGATCTAGGGATAATCCAGATAAAGGCAACAAACAATCCCGATAAAGCCTGGATGGGACATCATAAGTGTGGCTCTGTCACCGAAGGAGGGCTGATCAGTGCACAGTGATGAGTAAAGCAAGAAGCAAGTAGCAGGAGCTGACACTAACCGGCCAGATTATGCAGATTGTTTTAAACCATGTTAAGGATTTGGGTTGTAAGAGAGGAGGAAGCCATCAAAAGGTTTAAACAATATGGCAGTAAGAGCAGTCTTTTAAAGGCTTACTGATACGCAATGTGGACATTGATTGGATTTGAGGGAATAGAGGGAAGATAAAGAGAACGATTAACATTACTGCCACAACTCATTTTGGGGAGCTAACGCAGGGGATGGTGTTGCCAAAGATGATAGTTTGAGCTAAGGTAAATGCAGTGGAGATGGAGAAAAAATGTAGATAGATTTGAGAGAAAAATACAGTGGTAGAGTCAATAAGCAATCAGTTACTGATTAGATCCCAGATGGCATGGGCAGGCGAGATAGCGAAAGATGATTCCCTCTGGCTTGTGCAGGTAGCTAGATGATAGCGCTGTCGATGGTGAGGAAGAGCAGGGCGATTTGGGTGTGCACGCCAGATGTGAGGTGCCTCAGAGGCTTTCCAGGGGACGTGTTGCCAGGAGGTTCAGGTCGGAGCTCAGAGAAAAGAGCCCTGTGCTGAGAGTCCTGTGCACACATGGCACTTGAAGTTGTGGGCACGGATGGGATCAGCTAATATGGAGAAGAGAGAACCCTTGCTTATTCTTGGGAAACTACAACTTTTAAAAATCTCATGAAGTAGAATGAGTTAGCCTATGTGGGAGAAACACAGCCAGGAAGATCTGAGAGACGCAACTCAGGAGCATGTAGTAAAAACCGCGGCTATGCAGTTGCTGCTTCTCTCTTCCTTTAGCAGCGCCTCCCTGCGTTGCAGAAGCAGCACGTTCGCAGTTAGGACCTCATTCGTGGAGGATGCTCCACCACACAGCTGCGCGCTTTCGCTAGGTAGAGTTGGAGTGAGCTGGAGGCCTCATTCTGTTTCTTCCAGCTAGTTTCCTGCTGCAGCGTGATCACAGAGACTTGAGGTTTTCTCTTCAGCA